GGGGGCGGGGGGAGCCGGGGGCAGCTCCTCCGGTAAGGGCTGTTGTCGGTATAAACAGACGTTTAGTGCGTACGTATACTCTTGGGGTTTATATCCTAGGACAAACAGGGATAGCGGCAGTCGATAAATTAGGGGCTGTATCCCCGACTTCTAGGACGCTGACCAGGACGAAACGTTACGCAGTACTGCTGAGACAAACCAGCTTTCACCAGGCTGTTAGCCGCCCCTTCAGATAGCGGGCAGGCCTTCAGGCAGTTCATCCCTTATCGGCCGCGTTCGGCCAAGCAGCACTTGCTCAGGGGTTCGGGTAACACAGCCGTCGGACAGCCGAAGGCGGCCCGCTGAGGTGCTGCAGGGCAGCTCCCTCCGCACAGGCAGCGATGCCCGCGTGGAGGGACTGGAAAGCATTTCCTTGACTCGCAAACCCTGACGTGGTGGAATGACACAGGTTTCCCATTTTTGAGTTAACGCTGCAGTACGTTATCGGGAACAGCAGAGGTTTCTACTGGTAACACCTACAAAACCCTACCGTTTTGAAAGTATTTCTCAGCTTAGGTTCATAATAAGCGTGCAAAATGGCAAAGCATTTTAAAGATGATCAAGAAAAAAATAATCTTAGCAATGCAACATTTAGTTTGGCATTTTTCCCACTGGTATTTCTAACACATCCTTTCCAAGTCTCTCTTTACAATCACCTACCTTGTTTTTTCACGACAAAGTTTCAGCAGATACAAGTTTGAAGCCAAAGGTTTTCAAATACTTGTTAACTATCTGATATTTAAGATTTTTTTATGGGCATGATGACTTTGGTTGTTCACGCCCCTCTTTCCAGTAGCTCTCTCCCCCCGAAGAAAACTACAACACGCTAGTGGATTTATTTAATGCTTTAGTCATTGAAATTGAACAAGTAAATTAGTTGCAAGGGAAAATATTCAAATACAAATTTGGTAAAGTACATTCTCCTCACAGAGGACTAACCGCGTGCCACAGACCTGTGTGCAAAAGAGAGCCTATGAACAATTTTTAGAGCATGGAAGCATACCCTAGGGCAGAAGATTAGTATCAGACGTTTCAACCTAAAAATATAATAAAATGACCATGAAATTAAGCTCTGGAAAACAGAAGCACTAACTACAGTTGTCTTGTCTGTCATAGTTGTACATCACTATCCTAAAGCTATTACAAAAGCTCTACTAGGCTCCTCCAATTAATACAACTAATTCTTAGCAGGTAGAAGCCAGTATAGTTCTACTGAAGTCACTGGAATCTGTGATTTCATGAGCACTCATGTATCCATAAGTGTGGCTCCAAAAAAGCTACTGCATGTACTTGTCACAAAAGCATGGCAAAATAATGACGGGATTTTTTAAATAAAGATGCATAAATACTGAATAGTACAAGAATACAAAAAGTATGAACATCACAGAATGTTAGTTCAACAGTACCGGTATTTCTAACCAACTGTAATTTTTAAAAAGTCTACCATTCAGTACATACTTGAAAAGTTACAGGAGAACAATAGATTTATAAAGAGATTTGTACCAGTTTTTAAGTAGAAAATACAAGTTATATCTTCCAGTTTGTATTAGTCTTAGCAAATTTCATACAGCCTTTGGTTTCAAACCAATACAATGCAATTAACATTACAGTGTTTACTTAGTATTCATTAGGAGAGGACGCTGTACAATTGAGAGAGGAAATGTGAAAAACAGAAGTACCAAAGTACTGTATTATAGAAAGTAAAGGCTGAAGCAAAAATACTCTTGGGTATATCCTGTACATCATGTAAATACACATTCAGAATAGTAAACAGTCTAAAATGTCTTCCAAGCCTCTCAAACAGTTACAGTATAGCATACATATACATATATATAGCATATATAACATCATCTTTAGGAAATGTAGCCCATTGCATCCTAATTCTGTGCTTAACTCATTTGTGATTCAGACAATACATTCATATATTAGCAGTACATGTCTTTTATTATTTGGAGTTTGCTGGTTGCCATAGACAAGGACAGATCAAGTAATACTGAGCCTTGCTTTTAATTCACTTATTGTCAGTATATAAGCAACACTTCATTGTTCAAGACCATCTTTCTTGTTACCAAGGCTGAGAATTTTCACATTTATGTATAGCAAATCAAGCTGAAATTCTATTCTTTGCAGAACAGTAGTTTTCCCAATTATTTTTCATTAATTGGGTAGAGCAAGTAGTTAGCTTCTATTTTAAAAAGCAGGTATGGAAATTATCAGTAAGCATACACAAAAAAAATACTACTTGTCTATATAACATTCAGTCTCTATAATTTTTTTTTGAGAGTTTTGGATAATAACACTCTGAAAAGAGACCAAATTTTTCAAACGTTGTAAGAAGCAACTTACTTGCTCATCTACAACAAAAAAGAAAAAAGTTTATTAATTTTACAATTTATCAAAGTGGCCTTGTGATAGACACAAATCCACTGTAGCAAAATGTTATAGAGTAGTACTAGCATGAATTAATTAATGCAAGAAATGAAGCTTAAGATGTTTGTGACTACGTTTGTAAGAAAGACCTCAGTGCCTCATACTAAGAATTCCTTCTAGAATTAAACTCTCCTCACTTCTGGGTAAATCATGACTGACTGTCTTTCTTCAAAGCTTCCAGTCTCTGTAGTAATGCATTTCCAAACACCTCTCGATATGCAGGGCTGAGAGAGTCCAATAGGGAGTAGACAGTTTCATGGTATGGAGTTTGCAGTCTGTCATCAGTCCGATCAAAATCATAAGCTACTACCTGCAACAAAGAAATCACTGGTTAAATGTCTGTGGTTAGGACCACCTTGCAATGAGAAGCAGGTAACACAACATTTAACTTTGCCACTCAGGGTAGAACAATATTGTGAGAACAACAGATGTCCAATTTAAATCGCAATGTGCACTTTCTACTATGGGGCTTAGTGGTAATACAGTATTTAGACAGTTTCAAACACCTTCTGTCCAAAACTCAGAATATTAGTAAAATCTATCATTATGACCTTTGAAGACTTACATCTATGTGTTTGCACAAAAATATAAATGGTGCAAAAAGGAGTTGTATACATGCTGTATTACTGACTTCTGGGTACCCGAGAAACTCAAAGACTGACATGCCTACAACAAATTGCTGTTTCAATCTTCAGCATTTTGTGTCTCAAACAAATGCCTGTTTTTTCATCAACTTCCCCTCTTGCTTTATTGGAAGTAACTAGTTAAAGTTCCACTTTCTAGGAGAAAGCATGTAGAACAGGCTTTCATAAAAGTACAAGAGGAATATGTATGCTGTTTTGGTGTCACTGAAGTATTTTTCTAGGCACCTTTTGAACATGATCATTGTTCAAAACAAAGAGGCTTAAGAAATTATAAACAAATTAGTTTACCCTGAGTCCTGCTTCAGTGAGCTCCAGGCAGTATCTGTTCCTTTCTCTAGTTTCCACATTGATATATGCCACATCCTCTGCACAGGGAAGGGTTTTTGAGACAAACATGTTGCTGACAGCAAACAGAACATCATTCACAACAGCTTCGGCTTCTAGTCTCATATCTTTCACATCTGTTCCTTCAAAGTCTCCATAATTGGAATCCTCTTCAAACCCTGAATTATTGGGCAACTCCACAGGATTGCAATCAGCGTCCATGCTGCATACGAAAACATTTATTTTAGATTTATCGTACCACTACACTCAATATATATTAACACCATAAAACAAGAGATAGGCAGACATATTTAACATTGTCCAAAAAAAAGGAAAATATGAGACCCAATGACTTCCATAATCATGAAATGACAGTCCAGAGAACTCAAAACCACAATGCTGAGAACAACGGCTTAGGAAGGTGACATGAGCACATAGAAGCAGTATCAGTGTCACTGAACTTGCTGCTTCTTATGCAAGTAACTCGCATTCTGTTGTGTAAGACTCTGTTATGATTCAGCAGTAATTAATTCTGCACTTTGCTGATCTGGAATGCAGCAGGAAGACAAGTCATGCCTGGAAAGACTGGAATCAATAGCTGTAGAAAATAAAAACCTATTGTTGGTAAATTTAGGAAAGACTTAGAAAAGTCTGTGAACCAAACGGGCTATCGGAGACTATAAGGACATACTCACAGCAGCTTTTTGTTTACAGTCAGTAAAGAACGATTGTCTCGTTCAGCTTTTGAGCACAACTGTCGGTACGTTTCAGAGACATGCCCAGCTGGCCTTTGTCAGCAACTGCTACCAAAAAGGGAGAGACTCGGGGAGGGGGGCGGTACCACAGCGGCTCTGGCATTTGCCTCTCAGGTACCCGTGTCACCATGAGGTCTCAGCTAACTTACACCCCCCCAGGGAAACCTGCCAGAGGCCGGCAGGGAAGGAAAGCCCCTTGGGACGCTGCCCCGAGTGCTTCGGTAGCGGAGCACTGCTGCCAGGAAGGAACGGGCGCTGGCAAAACCCTATCCGCAACACGCAAGGCATTCCCAGCACGAGATTCGTCCTTTCCTGACACATCCCACCTCGGACCTACGATTCCAAACAAAACGAAGGCACCAGGAGAGCCGGCTACCGAGCGGCGCAGCCTCCCGTTCGCAGTGAATCGTTCCGATTTAACGA